AAAAAAAAAAACATTACTAAATGTCCATTTGTACAGACAAAACATTAGCAAACATCTAAAATTTCTTCAGTAAAAGAAAAACGTGTATTTTTAACCCTTTGGTATCCAAACTCTTAAATATTAGGAAGACTTTCTTAAATATATTCTTTAGGTAACAATAGGAAGAAACTATTTTTTAAAGTTTCTACCTGAATAAATTTGGTGCCAAGTTTTCATTTCAAGTTCAACATTACTGAAGACAGTTTTACATTGCAACTGAACCCCAATTATGTCTGCATACATTAAAATATAAGAGCATCAAAGAGTCTGATGAAATATTTAACATGCTCCCACTATAATTTAGCAAAGGAAATAGATAATTAGATTTAGAAATCATTGGTTTTATTTGAAAGCACTAGTTATACAAGCAGTGGTTAAACAAATAGTAAAACCTATATATTACTCAAGCTGTTAAGAAAAATAATCAAAATTCTAAACTAAACTTGTCAACAACTCTAGAATACTGTCAGGCAACCATCTGCTCCTGTCTGGTAGGCAGACTTGAATAGCTATCTCAGCAAGTAATTCCTCCACCTTGCCTGTAACACTTTAATAAAAAGAAAAAAGAGGCAGGAAATAGCAAGATCAGACAAGTTCGCCATCATGACAATTAGGTAAGGGAGGCAGCACTAGGAGGTGAGGAGGCTGGAATGCAGAGGATCCCAAATCAGAAACTACTACTTTAGAGTTATAATTCTAATTTCAGAGTTGGACTATTATTCAGAAGGGCCGATAAGTGAACAAATGAAAAGAAACCACAAACTTCAAACATGAATGAATGGCTAATAAAATAAATGTGGGTTATATTTTGCCAAGGGCAAAAGTTGCAAGCAAACTTCTGACACTAATATTAAATATGCTCCTCACAGGATTTGCTCTAATGAAAATTCTGCTTCCAGACAGGGCTCTATGGGTAAGCAAATAAAGGTGGGTAATAAGTATGGTCACCAATTAGGAATCAAACTAAACCAAGTCCATTTCAATTAAGAATTTCTAAAAGTTCAGCAATATAATTTTTTTTGCAACATTAAAAGTAGTTTATCAAGGTCACATTTAGACTTTTGTTATTATAGCCAACTATGCTTGTTTTCTAAATTAGGCAAGAAAGATTTTTTTAGAGTGAGTCACTGCACTTGCTTATACAGTCATGCCCCACATAACGATGTTTCAGTCAACAACGGACTGCATATACGACAGTGGTCCCATAAGATTAGTACCAAGTACCCTAGGTGTGTAGTGGGCTATACCACCTAGGTTTGTGTAAGTGCACTCTGTGATGTTCACACAATGATGAAACTGCCTAATGACGCATTTCTCAGAACATATCCCTATTGTTAAGCGACGCATGACTATATAAGGCTATAGATGCTTCTCCGGCTATCTGATGATCATAGTTAAGCCCCTCTCGGGATCAAAATAATTAAGTTAAAATATATGTAGCCCATTTGAAGATTTGGTTACCACAGAATTACTTCTACAGAAATGCTCTCCTATAGAAAGCTATGAGACTTGGTCATAATTCTAATTCAACACTGGCACCTGTATAATGTGGTATTAAAATGGACTAGCAAACTTGCCTGAGATTAATTTGCCAAGTTAATTCTGGTTTCACTCTAAATCCTGCTAAATCCCTTTATTTCTACTCTGAGGCACAAAAAAACCCCACTGATATCTGGTTGATATGGAAACATTCTCCACTTTTCCCTCAAGAAAATAAAGACAAAGTAACCAAAATTAATCAGTGCCAAAATACTGAAAGTAAAGATAATCCAAGGCCTGAAACCTGCATTTTACAGCATTAGTAGTAAAAAGGTCTTCTTCATTATTAGCAGATAGTCAACAATTGTTTTCAAAAGTCTTTTTCTGAAATCACATTAAGACAATCTTATATTGTTACTTATTTGATCATCCAAAAGAAAAATGAGGGAACAACTTTTCCATGTTAGTATATGCCCTTCTTCCAATCAAAAATCCTAAGTGTGAAGCCAGCAGCACTCATATACTGGCTGCAAGGAAAAACTAAACAGTCCTATAAGCAAAATTAAGGATGACAATTTAACTAACTTAATGAAAACTCCATACCTGACCTACTTGAGAAAAAGTGAGAATGAGCAGTGTGTGTAGAGGTTTTGATCATTTAAAGTACACAAACATTTAGTCTACTCACAGAACTGACATCTCATCTTGTGTATTTTTATTTTTTAGATGTGAACAACGGCAAATAATAATGACCATCGTATAAGCAGAAACAAAATCTCACATGAAAAAGAAAACTTGGCACCAAAACTCAAGATGTAAAATAAGAGAAGAAAAAAACTCCATCAACATACTCACGTGTGGTGCTAGAAAATGTAATACGATGCACAGCAGCTGACATGCGTTATCTTACAGATGCGGCCTACATTGACAAGTGAGTTATACAACAAACCATTCTAGCCACAGACGCAGGGCGCACTTGCCCTCACCATTATCTACACGATGACCAAAAAAGCAGCAACTTAAGACTGTGGCCACTTTACGTAGCATATATATAAAAAGCAAAGTAGGAATTAATAACAAAATTATAAATTACCACCAAGTGTGATAAAATACGGATATGAGACAGCTTTTAATCTATTCACAGGAAAAATTTATATCATCTCCTAAATATTACAGCATATAATATGAAGAATAATCTGGCCCATTCTGAACTGGGAAAAAAATAAGTAACTTTAAGTTAGTAAATTAATTCTGTGTCCCTTGATCTTCTCAAAAAAAAAGCATTTTATTTGCTAGGACTACACTTCATGATATGAGCAGCACTATAGAAAACAAATAAAATAGATCTAAGTACCATAATGTGGGGGAATCAAACTATTATTTGTTGGTAGACTAAAAGTGTTAAAGTATAAAAATAATGCTGAACAGATATCAAAAGGCAATTTACAATGTAGCTTATTGGAAAAACTGACATTTTATCTAGATGTTAAAACTAAATAACCACATATACAATAGCAATAAATAGTGATTACTTGTGCTCTGTCTGCAGGCCAAAGACCTATAATTTTAAGAATCGCTTTTGGCTAGGTGGCTCAGGCTAAATATTTCTTCTAAAAAATATCTGCAAGTTCAATCAAGGGACATCACCATAATGCAGGGTCTTGAGAGAGTGGCTCTTATACTGAGAAGGAAAAACAGACTGGCACTCGAGGCCATGCTCAGTCACACTTGGTGGAAAAAAGACACTCGAGGGTCCTGTAACCAAGGACAGAATTGTAAATAAAATGATGTGATTTTAAAAAGACACCTATTTAAAAAAGGACACAGCGATAGATATTTATTGGCTCAAAGGACTAAGCTATCCATTAAAATGAATAAAACTAACATCTCAGTAATAAAATGTTCAGGACCAATTAGAGTTTTGTTTAGAAAAATAAGTCATTAAAAAGATCAACTTCTAATTATTCTTTATTTCAATAAATGACAACTAAGCAATTTAAATCAATTATTTTATATGACTCTGTATTTTATATTCAAAGCTTCTATTAATAAAATTAAAGATTTGAGTTTTTAATCTAAATACAGCTAAGAAAACTGCATCTATAACTTTGCTTTAAAGAAATCCATTGAGAATCATCTCAGTGTTTTTCAAATTGTATAATATGTATTCACACGATCAACTGTTTTTACATTACCTTAAGTCATAACTACATATGAAGTCACAAGGTTCCCTGCAATGTAACAGTTAATACGGTCATATTTATAATACTAAATGGCTACGTAAGTTAATGATCCAAGCCCAATCTAATGACTGATCTGAACTATAATACTTAATGGAACAGAGGCTAAGATCCTAAGAGCCTAATGACAGCCCCTGGCATTAGACAGGCCTTGCATTAACCTATACAGTTTTGCTGTCCAGGATCTGTTTTCAATATTTATTGTAATACAGAGTCACAACAATGAAGTGGAAACCAAAGGGTTAAACTAAGTTAGTTTTGTGGGTTTTATTTTTTCCAAAGCCTAAATTTTCACATTTCCAATTAGAATAAAGTGGTTTGTAATTAATTTTTATAAAATATTCAAGACACTCAAGGTAAAACAAAAAAGCTGCTATTATCATAGTTATTTTGGTTATTACAGCTCTATAGCTTACACTCAACATTTAAGGGTGAAAACTGCATCCATTTTGTTAATGCTGTAACTGCAGAAGAAAAATTTTTATAATATAAATCTTTAAAAGAAAGTTAATACAAATAAATTTAATACCTAAAGTAAATGTATACCATGGCTAGCTAATGACTTGCATACAAGATCACATTTTTAAATTAATACATTTAAATATTTTTCTATCAAACCATAAATAAGCTAGTTGATGTAAACCAGGCTAAAATAAGGATACTCTGAAATAATGCCATCAGTCTCAAAAGCTCAGAGTTTGAGTCTTTAATGTATATAGTTCCAATTTATAAGGAGTTATAAATCATTAAAAGTCATAATAGGCTTTAAAACACAATGTTCTCACATCTGCTAAAAGATGAGGAAATCAAAATTTAGAAAAGCTAACTGTTCACAAGAAGTTTTTGAGCCAAAGAGGCCTGAAAAGGTATTCTAATTCAATTCAAGGCCCTCATTTCGAAATTAAAACTTGGCAAAGAAAAGTCTGAAGACTTGCCCACGTTGACACAACTAGTTAGTGGCAAAGTCAACAATGCCAGGTTCCAAATTTAGTTAGTTAATTCTTCTTTCCATCCTAATATATGCTCTCTCATGGAAAGAATCCTGAGGCTGCTGAGAAGTTAAGGCCCCTTCTGCTAGTGGTCAACTTAACCCACACAACAATTCTGCTAACTAAGGCCAACTGATCTAAAAAGAAAAATTATATTACTAATGTTAAAAACAAAGTTCAGGACCTTTGCTTGCTCTAAACACACCATCTCTGACTATAGCTTTGGCTGGGAGGAACAACTGAAGACACTTACTCGATGTGAGCCCCGTTAGCCACCAGGGCAGTGATGCAGTCAAGGCTCCCAGAGCGAGCAGCCTTGTGAATGGGAGTCTCGCCCTCACAGTCCTGAAACAACAAAAAGCGACAGACACAAATACACAGATCCAACAAGACTTCTACATAGTAAAGTAAATTACACAGATTGTGCACCACCCGTTCATCTTTGAAATAAAATACGGTGAGCCAAATTTGAAGCAGAACAAAAAGAAATGTAGGTGTGAAGAGAAAATAAAAGCAGACCACAGAAGGGGCATGTTCTCCTGAATTCTCAGGCGAAGAACAAAAAAAACCATGGGGCCGCTCAAGCAGTGACAATAGACACTCCAGATGGCAGTTTAGAAATCATTTTATGCTGGATCTTAGCACAAATGTGTTGTATATAAAACCCCAAATAACTATCCTCTGACAAGTTAAAAAAAAAAAAAAAAAGAAAAAGGAATCAAGGCCAAGCACCTAATATCGAACGTCTGGTCCACGCTACCCTCGTTCATCTATGTCACCACCAGGCTAGCCTGAGTCTAAACAACATCAGTGCCTCCCTGGGACTTTTTATCTGGAACTTGAATTAGGATTACACTTTAGACATGACAGTTGATGTTCAAGGGTCAGGAAAAGATGAGAAGGGAGAACACAAGGGTCAAACAGCCAGCTTCGTATACAACTCAGGCTGTCTGTGATGGGCAACTTCGATCAAGGACTTTTAGGAAGGCTGCATTAGAATCAGATTTACACTTCAGAAAACAGGCTGGAGGAGGTGGAGGAAGCGAGCAGACTCAGGGGTACGACTCTGGAGATTAACGTAGTGGTCCAAAAAAGACGAATTAGCTTACACCACAGGAATGGAAAAAATCTGAAATACAACTTCATTCATAGGCTCTCAGGTAAACAAGAGGTAAAGAAAGACGCAGCAATCAAGAGAAGGAACTCATTTCTATTAGAGAAACTGAATTAGGACTTTCTTCTTGGGTAATTCCAACTGGCTAAGCAACAGTTCCTGAATCAATCATACTTCCACATCCCTGGAAGCTGAACTTGGCAGAAGAAGACTACACATAATTAAGGAATAAAGATATACAGCAGGAGTGAGGCCACAGTACATGGCACTGAGAAAACAGTTCATCAATTCAGTCAACATGTGAGCTCCTTCACCAATGCATGTAAACTCAAGGGGAAAAACTGAGGCGAAGGCAAAAGTAAAAAGAAAGAGTGGCAGATTATTTTACAGAAAAATATAGTGTGAAAGACTCGACTGCTTGGTGGAGAGAAAAGTGTATGTATTTATTTAAAAATAAGCTCAAAAGTGATGTAAAGTTCTAAACAGAATAATCCCATTTTTGAAGAAAGAAACACAGAAAACCATGTACAGAGAACTATTTAGTGAACCCAGATTTTTTAAAAAACAAAAAGCTACCCCTATCCTCCCCAAAAGTGGGGGACGGCAGAGAGAAGGCACATAATAAGGCCAAATAAAAATTACATACAAGTATGGCCAGGAAAAGAAGAACTGAGATCTAGATAAGGTTTTGGGGAAGAAAAAAAGCTCAAGGAAAAAAAAAGCGTTTTTAAAGCTACCTTTGGAACAAGAAGAAGAAGTAAGGGTTTTCTCTACTCTTTCATGTAGATGGTGGGATATGCCAGATGACAGAGAAAAAGCAAAACTACCCAGCTCCTGTTTTGTGTTATACAAGGAGAACATCGTGAAGCTGGGAAGGGCAGAACAAACACTATTTAAAAGAACACTGCAGCCAAGAGAGGAAGAGTAAAGAGCCATTTTAAGGTCACTCACATCTCAAGCTCAGACCAGTCACATTTCAAAAATACCAAATAGTTTGTAGTATGATTCTAGAACTATAGTTGGCAAACTGAGTAATAAAGGAAACTGGAAGAGGTGCCAGAAATCTGAAGACAGACAAGTCACCTTGAATTTTAATAAAGAAAAATCTTATTTCTAATTTACTTACAAAAACCTAAAGGCAACATCAAATACCAGCAAAATTCTAGAAGGGATATTAAAGAGATGACTTGCAAACACTTAAAAAAAAGTGATCCTCACGGGTAGTTACTATAGACCTACCAAAACTAAATCACTTGGAAACTACCTTCACTTCCTCTTTGGGTAAACGTAGAACACTGAGCCTCTAGACAGTACATCTGAGTTCCAGCAACCCCTCATGCCAACCTTAGCAATGGCAGACACAGTCTCTACTAAACTCGAGGAAAATGAACTTAGAATGCTTAGTAACTAACATGCCAAAAGATTAAGACTAGAAGATGGATTAAAATTAACAAAATGTTATTATTTTTTTTAATTTTATTTATTTTCCCCCAAAGCCCCAGTAGATAGTTGTATGTCATAGCTGCACATCCTTCTAGTTGCTGTATGTGGGACGCGGCCTCAGCATGGCCGGAGAAGTGGTGCGTTGGTGCACACCCGGGATCCGAACCCGGGCCACCAGCAGCGGAGCGCGAGCACTTAACTGCTAAGCCACGGGGCCGGCCCTAACAAAATGTTACTAAGAAGAAATGCTATGCTAGGTTCAAAAAAGTTACATGCACAGACAAAAAAAGAACAAGAAACACCTGGATCTGGTTTTATAACACTTTATGTAGGAAATGAGAAAAACTGTCTACCTCAAGATGAGTCAACAGTGTGTTGGGAGAGCCAACAAAAGGGCTCCTGGGACCTTAAGAGCCACTGGGTGCCCACCACAGCAGTCCAACTGCCACCTAACAGAGCAAGACGACACCTGAGACTCAGACTGAAGCTCAGCACGAGACCACAGCACTGCAACCCTTTCAGGAGCAACGCCAGGACGCTTAAGAAACCCGAGTGACATCCTTGTTCACGAGCGGACTGGGGATGTAGAGTGAGGTGGGCAGTTTAAACACAGGGACGGCTGCAGAGAGCGTGGGAGCTGGGAGCAGAGTTCAGAGATCCCCACGCAGTGCTATGCAGAGCAGCTCAGAGGACGGCCCGGGCAGAGCTGCAAACCTTCTCTCTGTGGAAAAGATTGAGTTGCTGTAACATATTATATGAAAAAGGGGCTTCTAAATTTAAAAGGGTCTGAAAAGCACTGTTAGACAATTTCATTAGATCTCTCAAAAACAGATAATATGTAACAATTTAATGAAAATTAACATAAAGAATATTCTAAACTTAAATTCTATATTAATACTAAATATTAATCACTGCCATTTATGGATTATGCATAGTTTATCGATAAGGAGATTAACCACAGACCAAGTAAATGACTTGCCCAAGGCCAGAGAGATGAGGAGGCGGAGGGTAGAATCAAGCTGGGTGCCCTTGCTACCGGGAGAAAGGAGGATAGAAAATGCAGAACCAGGAATGAGACAAGTGGAAGGAAAGGCAATGCCTCGTGAAATCATGGTACACAGCTGCCAATTCATGACTTCTGGGTACAGGGATAAAAGCCACAAATCACTGCGTGGAGGCTGAAGGAAGACAGGAAGAGGCAGCAGGTGAAGCCTAAAAGTTGTCCCACCTCCCAAGTTCTAGTTTAGTAACAGAAACAGGGCTAAAATCCAGGGCTCTCCTTGTACATCCTCTCTACTAAAAGTCTTCTACCGGGTACAAATCGTCCTCTGATCCTTCACTCCCCTTGCCCACTGATCCACTCCTAAAAACTGCTTTCCTCAATGACTTGCTTTTTAGGTGGGTAGCTGAGTTATCTTCAGGAGAGGGGCTCGCAACAACTTTATACCTGGTTATCATCAAGGGATGAACCTTAGGAAAGACAAAAGCAGGAAATAAAAGTTACCTTGCACACAGTATGCCCTTGATGACATTAGTAGAAAAGCATATAGAAATAGGATAAAGGGGAAGAGAAAAGTGGAAAGGCAGAAAGAATAGCTAGAAAGCCAGAGGCACAAGTCCCTGGGAGGAACGCACCCTCGGGGTAGGGGGCTAAGTCTGGGGCTGCTCCAGTCAGTCTTCTACACCCAAACACCTGTCCAGGCAAAAGAGTCCCCAGTAAGCTAAACACTCTTCTCGTGGTTTTTTGGTCACTGAAGTGAAAAGAATACTGAAAAGACATGAAAAAACTGGCACTCTCATGTTCATGTTTCTATACTTAAATACAAAATCCTTGCATTTGGCGTCTGAGAGTCACTTCCTACATGACACCTGTTTACTTATCTGCATCTAGTCATCACCCCCAACTTGTAACTGAAGCAACATGAAGTCACACTGGTCAATCAGCTAATGCTAACTTAAACACGGAGACGATTTAATAGCCATTCTTCTGCTAGCATCGATGTGTTTCCACAATTATCTGTGGAAATGAAGCTAAGGCAGCTGTGAGCAGGTGAGCCAGGAAACTTGGGCTCAAGGCCAGCCCCTTCAGTTACCAGCTGTAACCTTGGGCAAATCACCTTGGATCCTGCGGGTCAGTCAATCGTACAACAGGGGGCCTACCCCATGGCGTAGCGGTTAAGTACTCTCGCTCTGCTGCTGGTGGCCTGAGTTCAGATCCCAAGCGCAGACTGACGCACCGCTTGTCAAGCCATGCTGTGGCGGTGTCCCATACAGAGTGGAGGAAGACGGGCACAGATGTTAGCCCAGGGCCAGTCTTCCTCCGCAAAAAAGAGGAGGATTGGCATGGATGTTAGCTCGGGGCTGATCTTCCTCACACACACACACAAAAAAACCATACAAGTGAAAGCACTGCTATGGGAAGGGCCTATTATCCACAAATAATTCAATAAACATAAATTCCAGTTAGCCCACGCGTCAAAATATCAAACTCTAATTAAGGCCTCAATTTAAAACCCAACACCATGTAATTATAACTGGAAAAAGAAAACAAACAAACCACGTCAACCATCGCACTCCCTTACCGGCTTGTTAATGCTGGCTCCTGCTTGAATCAACCAGATGAGGCACTGAGGGTGTCCCCCAAAAGCAGCGATGTGGGCTGGGGTCTGTGCATAACGCGTGGTGGAGACATCGAGTGTGGCTCCAGCTTGCACCAACTGTATTAAGCACTCCAACTTCAAAAACAGCAAGAGAGGGGATGAAACACGCATAAATGTCAGTATACTATTAAACATTACACAAAGAATCTAAATTCTATAACAGATGTGGCATTTTTGGTTACCAATTTTTTTTTCTGTTTTAGAGAACAAAGTAAGTCATTCCTTCCCAATGCCATACAAATTTTAAAAGGCATTTAAAAGAACATTCTTCCTTGTTCTTGTAAAAAAAGTTGGTACATAGGAACAGAAAGTTAAAAAGATTGACACTACACAAATTTCAGTATTTTGTTTTTCCTACAACTGAAAAAGCCCAAATCAGAAAAGATTAGCTTGCATTATTCAAAGACTTCAATCAAAACTAGGTTTTGCCACTTTCATACACTAAAGAATAAAAATGTTAAAGTGATTGGTGGGTTAAAAAGGTTTGTGTAGCCACAGTAAACTCTTCATAGTCAAAGACTGTTTTCTGCAGCCTGCACAACTGTACTCTGCACACCTTTAACAACACAGCATTCGATAACTACTCAGGTGAGGCCCACCCTCCAGATTATTTTCTCAGAGAAAAGATGTGTAAAGTAAGTGAGAGGGCAGCACTCAGTCTTCTCAAACTGTTTGTATAGAACCCCCGCACTAATGCAAAAAAGGCCTAGAGCACAGCTGAGCCCTGCGCCTAACAGGTGACTACAATGAAGACACACGCGTCAGTCAACACAAGACTGCAGCCAGGCACCGATATTGTACCAGTCTCTCGGTAAAAGAATTCATCACACTCACCAAGTACTCAGCAAGTGCCTAGCATGTGCCAAGCACTGTCGGAGAAGGCCTGCAGTCCTAAAATCCTGGATCCTGAGCTGCCCCGTTTCCCCTCACGAAGCACAAAGCAGAGCTAGTCAAAAAGCTCTAACTGCCAACAATTCTCTTCCAGAGGACAGACCTCAAATGAAGAGCAAATAGCTACACTCCAATCCCTCCCCAAGTCTCTTATCCTCTTTCAGCAACTTAAGCCTTTCCTTGCAAAGGACAGACTGCTGCAATCAACATTTTTCTGAGACGAACTCTCACAGTTAGGATTACACTGATTTAAAACATGATCTCTGTCTTCATGGAATTTGAATCTGGGAGTGAGGGCTAACAGAGAGACATCACTTTGGTACATTTTTATGTACTGCCTTTATTAATGGGCTGACTGAAAACTCAAAGTGCCAATAGTAGTGACAAGATGAACAGGTCTCAAATCCAACAGAAATGAAACAAGGATAAAAATCACTCGGCATTCCAAAAGCAGTTAATCTTAACATCAATTGAGGGCTCCCTGGACTTAAATCTGTTACCTCTGAGTTCAATTTAGGAAACTGCGCTTGGAACTTTGGAAATATATTGTTCAATGGGAAAGCTTGTAAAAGCAAGGTGTAATTAGAGATTTTAAATACTAATGTTTAGTCCTCCGGGAACAAATAAGGTTCATAAGAGGTTAGGTAACTTGTGCACACTGGCACATTTCTAGGAACACAAACTTGAAAGCTGGGAGAGTTCATAAGAGCACAGGCTTAAATGTATATAAAAGGAGGGAAGCTGTTGGCAAGGGGGGGGGGGGGAGACTGGAACGGGAGCCTGCAGCCCTGAGTCCTGGCCTAATTTCTGCCCAACAGCTTTTTCTCACCCACTGAATGATGCTTTCTACAGTCCCTTCTGTATCTAAGATGATACAGTCATAACGATTAGACAGCTGAAAACAATAAAGTAATGCCTCTAGTTACATCACTGGGTCTCCAAGGTTAATCTACTACTCACATTCTACAGAAGTAGAGACTTGAAAAGAGTGAATTCAGTTGGTTTTATTTTTATTGTTACAAAACACACATAACATGAAACTTACCACTTTAAGCATTTTAAAGTAGTTATGGTTATTTTTAATCCCTAGAGATACCTGGAGGCACCCTTGGGTTGATAAATATTCCAAATGACTATTTGTAATTAGGCTTTAAACATTCTACAGAATGTACCAGATTGTCATATAATACTGTCATTCTCCATTGTCACACAATAAATAGCACCATTCTCAACCAAAACAGGGACGATCAGGACTCCCCCCCCCCAAAAAAAGCTGTCCTTGCCTGTTACAGGGGTGTCTTTCCCCAAAACACATCAAGACAAAAATGTTGAGAACCAATGCTCGGAGAGTTACATAGAGTTTAATGTAAAAATAAACCAGAGCAAGATGCACTCAGGAGGGAGATAATGCCTCAGATTACTGATTGCCTTGGGAAATCTACATTCAAGGCTAAAGGGAGAAGGGCACAAAAGAGAGTTTTGTGTGTTAAGACTGATTTCCCATGGATGCTCATTTTCAGCCACTGGTACTATCTTAGCACGACTTTAGAGACCGGTGCCACGGCGATCTTACAGCCCACGGTTGATTAACTTAATTGACCTCCCTCATAACTCCCTTTCATTTCTTCCACTAAAATAAATCTGACTTTTCCATTTTATGAGAGGAATAACTGTTTCCCAAAAGATACAACTGTATTGTGAATGCAGCACCAAGAGCAAAGTAAAGCAACTTCATCAGCTGGTAACAAAAACATTAAGACATTCAAGACTTCTTGGAATAACTTATTTCACATTATCCTGCATATATTCCTGCAAAACCATTTCTTTATTTCAACCCAACCTCATCATTTCAGAGACAAAATATTTTTATTTGTCCCTGAATTTTGGTATATAAATCTCAATCATTAAAGTCACTTTTGAAACGCATCGTGAATCTCACTATGACTAGCTGTCTGGCCAAATAACCCCATTTACGGCACAGATCTGGAACACGTTATCTAAACTTCTAAAAATTTAAAGTAGCACGCTGTTCTTCTCAAGTTTTTAAATAACTAAAAAAAATAATAATACAAAGAAGGGGAATGTAAAGGCTCCACAAGAAGATAAATCTACCTAATCTAACCCCTTTACAGTAATTTAAATGCTCTTAATACTACCACCACTGATTTTACTAAACCTGGGCAAACTAAGAGTCTTGGAAACACACAGACAACATTCGACACAAAATTCCCTTAAACCATTCTTTAAATGTCCCTATTCATCTTTCACAATCGTCTTTACAATTTAACCAGGTTATTCCGCCACCGAAATCATCCAGACCACAACCTTCCGCTAACAGCGAGGCTGTCCCCGGATACTCCGGGCACACGCTCGTTCCAGCGGGGCCGGGGCGCAGGCCGGACGCTCGACCCCCGCGCCGCCGAGCAGCGGCGAGGGGAGGGGGGCGCCTCGGGAGCGGAACCCAGGCGGGGGTACCGGCGCAGCGAGCACCTCGCAGGGCCCGCAAAGTCACAACGCCCCCCGCAGCCGCACAGAGCCCCCACAATCCCACAGACTCCGCCTGCAACGCCATAGGCCCCCCGCAACCCCACAGGGCTCCCCAACTCCCACAGGCTCCCCCTGCAATCGCACGTCTCCGCAACCGCACACGGCTCCCCGCAATCCCCGAGACCCCCCAGCAACCGCACGGGCCCCCCGCAATCCCACAAGCCCCCCTCCGCAATCGCACGGGGCCCCCCACAATCCCAGAGCCTCCCCCCGCTATCCAACAGACGCCCCCCCAGCAACCGCACGGGGACCCCGCGATCCCCAGCGCCCGTCCCCGCCGCCCCGCGGCTTTTCTCAGAGGAGCCGGGACTCGCGCCGCCCCGGGGCCTCGCCTCTTCACCACCACGCACACCGGGCGAACGCGGGCGGCCCGGGTCCTCGGCACAGCCGCCGGGGGTGCGCCCGAACCGCCGCCCGACCGCAGGCGCGGAGCGGCGCCTGGCCGACCCTACAGGGCAGGGCGGAGCCTCCGGGAAGAAAGCGCCTCCGGGGAGCCGCCCCCGTTTGAAACTTGCGCCGCCGCACATGCGCCCCACGTCCCTCAGGGCGCCGCCAGGGCCGCTTCCGCTCGGCGCTCTCGGCACGCCCCGCGCCCCCTCGGGGCCCCAACCGCCCGCGCCGCGGCTGCACATGCGCCGCGGGCCCCTCGGGGCACCACCAACCCCGCTTCCGCCCCGCGCTCCCGGCACGCCCCGCGCCGCTCGCGCCCCAGCCCCCACCTTCCCAGACCCCCACAGGAAAGCCGCGGAAAATGGCGCCTTAAAGCGCCCGGGCCCACCTTGCCGAAGTGCGCGGCCCAATGCACGGGCGTCCAGCCGTAGAAGGAGTCCTCGGCGGCCAGGTGGGCGCGCGGCGTCTGCTGCAGCAGCGAGCAGAGCGCGGTCAGGTCCCCGTCGCGGCAGGCGCGGTGCAGCGGGAAGCGGAGCGACAGCAGCTCCTCGCTCGAGAAGCCCGCCTCCGCGCCCGCTCCCGCTCCCGCCGCCGACATGGTCTGTCACCAGGAGGCACGGGCTGGTGGGCCGAGAAGACGCGTCGGTGAGGGCCCAAGAAGCCGGCGCCGGAGCACAAAGGAGCGGGAGCACAGCCGCCGCCGCCACCGCGTCCCGCCGGCTGCCGAGCCGAGCGCGCACAGGGAGCGGGGCGGGGCCGGGAGCGGGGCCTGTGGCGGCGGGGCTGAGGCCGGCGCCTGGAGCCGCCGGGTCTGGAGGCGGGGCCTGGAGTGTCGGGGGCGGGGCCAGGAGCATTGGGGCGGGGCCGGGCGTGGGGCAGACACCAGAAGCGGCCCGGGCTGAGGGCGGGGCCGGGAGCAGGGGGTGGGGCCTGCGGCGGCCGGGGCTGAGGCCCGCGACCGGAGACGCCGGGCCTGGAGGCGGGGCCTGGTGCACCAGGGGTGGAGTCAGGGGCAGTGGGGCGGGGCCTGGCGGGGCTGGGCAGGGAGTAGACTTGCGGAGCAGTGGGGGCTGGGGCCGGGAGCAGGGGTGGGGCCTGGCGGGGCCGGACATGGGGCAGTCGCCCGGAGCGGCGGGGGCTGGGGTCCGGAGCAGGGGTGGGGCCTGGCGGGGCCGTGCAGGGAGCAGACACTGGGAGTGGCGGAGGCTGGCCCCGGCAGTGGGGGTGGGGCCGGAAGCAGGGAGCAGACACCCAGAGCGGCGGGGGCTGGGGCCGGGAGCAGGGGTGGGGCCTGGCGGGGCCGGACAGGGGGCAGTCGCCCGGAGCGGCTGGGGCTGGGGCCGCGAGCGGGGCGGGAGGGGGCGGGGCGCGGAAGGGGAGGAGGGAGGCTGGAGCAGGGACGAGGCCTGGCGGGGCCGGGCATGGAGCAGATGCCTGGAGCAGCGGGCTCTGGGGCCGGGAGTGAGGGGCGGGGGAGAGGGAGGCTGGAGTAGGGGGCGGGGCCGAGGCGGCTCCCTTGCCTGGCGGGTAGGGTGGGTTCTCGGTCGCGCCCCCTGCCGAGACCCCAGGCCCGGCGGTGTCCTGACCAGCGCGCGGAGGGCAGCCCAGCGGCGGCGACCTCTGCGGAGAAACCCTTGCCCCTTAATAAAAAGCTCCCCGGAGCCGCAGGTTTGAGTTTGTGACCCTCCAGCCCCTGCACGCAGGATGTTGGGTCCCCTGAGGTTTCGGCCGCGCCCTTGTAATTCGCCCAGTTAGTGCTATGGGGCGCCTGCGGGGAGACGGCCGCTGGTTACCCTCTGAGACCGCAGCCCGCGCTTTGCGGAGCAAAGGACCAGCTCCCCGCGCTTTCTGTCCTAATTAGAGCGCCTGCTGGTCGGGCCAGGTGGGGTGCACGTTTGCGAGAACAGACAGCAAAAATACTGAGGAAGAAACATCGCTGCATGCAAGGAAATGGTAAATTCTCTTTCAATGACCAAGAATCATAGTTTTTTTAAATAGAGTTTTTTCTGATTGTGAGGAATACATGAAAATCAAAAATTTCACTATCGAGGAATAACCACTGTTAACGTTTATGGATATTTTCTTATAGTATTTTTATAACCATATAGTTTGTTTCATTTGTATATATTTTTTCCTTGTGTCTATTGCCTTTCTTTTTTCTTTTACAAAATTCTAAATCACAGTAATTCAACTTTAAGTAGGTAACCAGATGTCTGGGAAAACATTGATGCATAAGATAGCACATTGCAGCGTTAGTTAATAAAACAAGAAATTAGACTTATTTTAGCCTATTAGCCAATTAGCCTGACAAAGGGAAATTGTTAACTTATGGTATAAACATACCACACAGTCATCTAGTCATACAACAAACATTTGTGCAGCACAATGATGAATGAAACACATTGAGAAATGCTCCGGAAACAGTAAGTGAGGGAAAGGAGCAAGTATTTCAATCCAGCAGGCAGTTACTAATGAATGGGAAATATGCTTGAGACTTAGAATCTGTTTTCTGTCAAGGATCTTGTAATCTATTAGGTGAGGCAAGAAAGAATATTTCAGTAAACTCAAGCAGTACTTTCTTATTTGGACCAAAAGGTAGAAATATGCCGTAAACTCATTTCAAGCTTGGTTCACTCTAGAATTCAATCATTTTTCTTTATATACATCATGCTGACTTTAATCTAATTATCTCTTTAAGATGATATACCCGGATAATGACTTCCACCCTTACTAGGAAAGAAGCATCCCATTTTGCAAAAGGACATAAGCATGCCTCGTCATCCATAATAAGGAGTGGGAGGATTACTCTTTTTTATCCTGCCTTCTGCAAGTGATGAAACTCAGACACGCATAAGCTAAGGAACTTGCCCAAGGACAAGCTGCGCACCCGGGGTGGAGCTTAGAAGAATAGCCAGACCTGGTTTCCAACCCACTATTAGATTTTGTTAATCTTGGAATTTATTTTGCATAAAGTCTTAAGGCCTAGGAAGATAAAGTAGGTTACAATGATAGGATACTTAGCGTACATCCTTCCTCAGTCAAGACGACTTTCTGGTTTTTAGGGTCGCTTGGACTGTATACGTGTCTAGGTAGCTGCACAGAAATCGACCAGCATACGTATGATGATGGATCCCCGCGACATGCCAAATGGTAACTGTGGCTGTGAGAATTATAAGGAGCAGTCTAGTGAGTGCCCGCAAATGTCAGTGTTCTGACTGGCTGGTCCCAAGTTCTGCCCAACTCTTAAAATTATTACCAATTACAGATTTTCTTTAGGACTCTTGTTTCTAAAAAGCTCTAGAGAAAAGAAAAAGAAAAATGCAGATTCATAACTCACATCTTTTGTCTTTTATTTGACAAAGCAACCGTAAATAAATGACAGATTCTCTCCTTCACCAAAGCGTGCTCAAGCTCCCTGAATTTCAACTAGGCCTTGACTTTTGGACTTGGGTGTCTGTCTCTGCATTGTCCAATTTTAGCAAGAATCCTTCAAAGTTGGTTTCACTAGAATTCCCCATCCCCCGTATCTGTTGCCCTCGATATCTAATCGGATTCCTCATCCCTCACCACCCCCAGGTGACATCTGCTCACCTTGGCCTTCCTTCAGCAAGAATCCTGTTAGGTTGGTTTAGCCAGAACCCCTGGCATTTAGCTGACCCTGATGTGTCCTCTCAGTAATTTTCCATCCACCAGTGCCCACCGGCTCCTTGACTCTAAATTCTCACTAGCCCCTGCTGTATTCAGAGATGAGTCCCATTTCTATCCCCCACTGCAAGAAAAAGTGGGGTCTTACCCATTGCAGTGGTCCCTACACCCATCGAGAAGCCCCGCTTGAATAAAGTCTGCCTTACTGTGCTTTAACAAGTGTCATTGAATAATTTTTCTTTAACAGTTTGAATAATAATTTTTTTGAATAATTTTTTCTTTAACATAAGCAAACTTGGCTAATTTGAAGATATGATTCAAATACATAAATCATGTATTTCATATATTTACTCAAAACTCAATATATTAAAAACAAAACAAAACCCTGCCGTTAGGATTGGCATTGTGTTTTCCCAAAAAGGATCGTGTCATGTGAGGAACTGGTCCAGTGGGCAGTGCTCAGTTGAAAGAACATCCCTGTCAGAAATGCACAGAAGTGTCTTCGCACATGGTGGACATTGATGGGTTTCTTCTGAGCGCTGTTACTACACGGTGAACGGTGTGTCATGGGAGATGAGACTGGAAAGGAAGGCAGGGCCCCAGGTTATACGCCACACAAGGAGCCATCCTTAATTCCTCAAAGTGTTGGCCCAGTGAGGGGCTTTGCTGTTGTGCCAGGTAAGGGGAGGAGGTGGGACACAAAAGGAGAAGCAGATCTGACTTGCAGCTGGCTCTGGGACAGGGGAACCTCCTCTGATGGTGCCCTCACCCTGGCCCAAGAGTGGGACCAGAGCCTTACTGTTCATCTGCCCCTTCCCACCTCCCATCCATGTCCCACCATGCTGCCAGATCCATCTTTTGAGAAGGCAAATCTGCTTAAAATTGGACACAAGAACAGTGTCTTAGTCCATTCGGGCTCTTATAACAAAGTACCACAGATTAGGTGCCTTAAACATCAGAAATTTATTGCCCACAGTTCTGGAGGCTGGAAGCCCGAGATCAGGGTGCCAGCACGGTGGGGTTCCGGTGAGAACCCTTTTCCTGGTTCAGGGACAGCGCCTTCTTGCCGTGTCCTCACTCGGAGCAGAGGGAGCCATATCTCTCACGTCTCTTCTTACAAGGGCACTAATCCCACCACGGTGGCCCCTCTCTCATGACCTCATCTAAACCTAATCAACTCCAGAAGATCCCTGTCCAAATGGCATCACGCTGGTATGAATTTTGGGGAGACATAAATATGCAGTCAACAGCAAACATCTTCTCAGACCTCAGTCGTTCAGATACCAGCACCATGTGGATTTCTGTATCCTCAGGATCTGTGCTGTTAATATTTTTCTTAAAATAGGTTCACTTTGGGCCGGCCCCGTGGCTTAGGGGTTAAGTGCATGCACTCCACTGCTGGCGGCGTGGGTTCGGATCCCGGGCGCGCACCGACGCACCGCTTCTCCAGCCATGCTGAGGCCATGTCCCACATACAGCAACTAGAAGGATGTGCAACTATGACATACAACTATCTACTGGGGCTTTGGGGGGAAAAATAAATAAAATTAAAAAAAAAAGAAAAAATACTTTAAAAATAGGTTCACTTTTTTAAACTTATGGGCTTTATTCAGGTCCTCTTTGTTAACTAACCATCAATGAGTTTATGGTGCTAGTTACGTTTTCTCCCTACCCAGTTAAACAAATACACAAGACAGAGTTTGTTCCAGTGCCTCCCAAATTGGCCCCCTCCGTTAGTGGTGCTCACACCTCACTTTGGAAATTGCTCCCAGGGAGCGAAGCCCTAAATCCGTACCTCGGCCTGTTGGTGCCCCTGCAGCCGGGTCCTGCCCACCTCTCTGGACCCGTTTGTCATGCCCTGCACGAGCTGTCCAGTCTGTCCCTGAAACCAAAGTCACCACTGCTGGAGGCTTCTCCCACTTCGTCCCCAGCACACACTCCCTTTGTTGTGGGTTGAATTATGTCCCCCCAAATTCATGTGTTGAAATCCTAAC